GTATAATTTTTATAGTTTTAAAATATTAATTTATTAATAATACTATTTCAAGTCAACTCGAGTTAAGTCGAGTTTGAGTCAAGTTTAAATTGAGTTAAGTTAAATATTTAACTCGACTCAAATTTGATTTAACTCGTAAATCATCGAGTCAAAAAAATATAAACTTGACTTGATTCAAACTCGACTCAACTTATTTGACTTATGAGTTAACTCGACTCATCCAGAACTCTACATAAAAACACTTCTATAAATCAAAATTAGCTAATAAAGAAGAAGAATATAAATTGAATTTTATCAATTAATCAGTTTAGTTTTTCAAATAATAAACTAATTTTTTTTTATAATAGAAATACAATTATCATCAATATCAAAAAGATGTTAAATAACAAAATTAGCTGATAAAAAATCAAAATGTAAGTTATATTTTATAAATCAACTAGCCAATTTTAAATGATAAACTGATTTTTTTTACTTTTTTATAATAGAAATATAATTACAATTTAAATCATAAAAACGTTTTTAAAAATTAAAATCAATCAAAAAAGAGTTGAAATATAAGTTGAATTTTATCAATCAACTAATCAATTTTTTAAATGATAACCTAAATTTTTTATTTTTTTATAATAGAAAAAAGACAATATGTTTATGTAAAAATTATTTAAAGATAAACTAAATTTTTTAAAGCATAGGTTAGTTATAATATACTATTATTATATTAATATTAAATAACTTTTCAAATTATAGAAGTAAATATAAAAGAAATGTAAAAATTATATAGAAAATTCTGCTTTTATTTAAATTTTAATGATAATTAATAGTAAATACTTTAGTTATAATTGAAGTTGAGTTTTTAATAATTCTAACGATTTAGAATCAAGTATATTATTTTTAATTTTTTTTCTATTCATTATTTTATAATTAATAATTTATTTTCTTTATTTTTATAAAAAAAATCAAAAACTTAGAAAAAAATTATCAAATTTAGTAAGAGAATTAGTAATAAAATTTTGATCTTTTAAAGAAAAACTGATTTTTTGCTAAAATTAATAAGGAATTTAGCAAAAAAAATGAAGATTTATAGGAAAGGTAAAAATTTATATACTAATATGAGATCTTTACAATAGAAAGGGAGGAAATAGTTAGAAAAAATCAATTTTATTTTTATATGTTAAATATGATTTTTAGGTTAAAATATGTTTAGATTTAGCATTAACTCAATTTTTATTTTTTTCAACTGGTTCTCCCTTTTCTATTGTAAAAGTCTTATATATCTTAATATTTACAATAATTAATTTTTCTTTTTAATATTTAAAACTTGACTAATTTGAGAGAATATAGCTATCTAAATTATTAAGATAATCTAATAATGATCTTCTTGCAAAATAAAAAAAATCAAAAAATCTTCATTAAAATCAAAATGAAAAATCAGTTTATTATAAATTGAAATTATTATAAAACAATTCTAAAAATGATGATAATTCAGTAATAGAAGAGGCTGATATAAAAAAAGCTAGAGTATTTTGAATTTATATTTAAATATTTTAAATTTTAGCTGATTTTTTTTCTGCTTTTCATATTTAGGCTGAAATGAAAGTAGTTTTGAAAACTATTAACATAAAGAATGATTTAGACTATGATGAATCTTTCATAATAAGAAAAATATTATAATCTGCTTTTAGAATTATATAAGTCCTTAGCTTTAAATTATTAGTCTTCTATTGACCTATTGATAAACTAGCTAAAATCCCTTCATAAATTATATCAATCAGCTAAAAGAATAAAGTAAGAAGAAAGGATCATTTGGAGCAGTAGTGAATTTATAATAATAATCAAGTATATAATATAAACAAATTAGAGTTTTGAACAGGTCAGTTCAGGTCAGGTTAATTGAGTTATCTCAATTAAGAGGACTAGGTTAGGTCAAATAAAAATCTGATATGATATTAACAGTTGAGGAAATTTATGGATTAAGTCGAGATGAGGTTAAAGGATTTTTGCAAAGAAGGAGAGCCGAATTGGACCTTGAGGACGGTGATATCAATATAATACATAATCAGAGAGTTAAGGGTGATACCTTTCTTGATTTTAATGCTGTAGATTTTGAAAGATGGGAAATACCGGGTGCTCCTGCCAAAAACTTGAAAGGTTGATTAAACAAATTAAAGGAGGTAAGTAAATTTCATTCTTGGTCACACCAGTCAACAATACCGAATACTTACTTATTATTGTGCTTTTCTTTCTTATCGTAAAACCCGTCCAAAAAACACATTCGCGTTATCGCAGAACAACCCGTTGCTGGTAAGTGAAAGTGAACGCGTCTTGGCTTAAATTTTGATAGTTGTGTTTCATATCATATCATTTCATTTCCAACCAATAGAGCTCGGTAAAAAACGAAAAGCTTTGGAAGAAGGTAAGAATGTACAAAATGGCCTTTGATTGCTTAGTCTTTTATTGTCTAATTTTCAAATATTTTGTTTAATCAGTGAAGAAGACATGGAAGGTCAACAGCACATTACGGGAAACTGACTGGTCTTCTCACTATTTTATGGATCCAGTGGAAGGAAAACAACAAGAACAAGCATCACTATTTAAGAAAATCGAAGAGCGTTCTTTCATAATGTTATATGGAACACGGGCATCTGGAAAGTCTACGCGTGTGATGAGAACAATATCAGAATTGGAAAATAATAATTATTTGTGTAACTAGTAAGTTCTGTTCTTATTGCTATATAACCGCTTTATACACTTTCTAATTTACCATCCTCTATCTTTTCGTGGTTTTTGAGTTTGTCGTTTGGGTAAATTACCGATTATGGCGAAGGCTTCTGGAATTCATTGGCACAAATCTCTCTATTTATAAACGTTCCAATGAATACTTGGAATCCTGTGCGGATATAAATCGTGCTGAAGATTTCCTTCGTTATTTTAGCATAGCAGGCTGGGAAAATGCTAATAAAAATTCTGAAAATCGTATTATACTTTTTTTTTTATGAGTTCGATAGAATATACAAAATGGATGATGATCATCGCTCCAATTTCCTGTCAGTTCTTCGCGACATCAGGAATACTATTGAATCTTATGTTATTCAAGCCATCATCGTAATTGGTACATTCAGCATCTGCATCTTGACTCAACTACAAATTTAACTTCACCCTTCAATATTAAGGACTCGATCCGTAATCCCAATTTTAACATGGAACAAGTACGAGCGTTGTTTAGTGAGTTTGAAGGAGACAATAAGTTGAATTTTGAACAGGGAATTATCGAGGACATCTTTGAACAGACAAATGGGTATGTGAAAATGGCCAGACTAAAATATAAACTAATAACTTTTTACCGACTAGTAACTCTGATTTACTAATTATATTATAGGCATCAGGGCCTTGTTTGTCTTTGTGGGCGTGCAATTGAAGACAATCTGCTCAGAAAGCTAAACAAACGACTCTTAAGCCGTGAAATTTGGGAATGTCACAAAGTCAGTTTCTTAATGGATGCGATTGTTGATTATCAAACATTCCGAAATTTGGTGTCAGCTTTCCAGAAAACCCAAATCTAAGGTTGCGTTGAATTTTTTTCGGGATCATTTTCTAGTAGATTTTGGACATGAATGTCACCACTGACATAAATAGTGCAGAATACCTTGCTTCTGAAGGGGTTCTGGTACCTGGTGAAGAGGCCGGAGCATTCAAACTTCCTTCTCCGTTGGTTCGCTGGTTGATCCTTCAGCGTGTAATCCCTAATGTATTTCCATCTCGTCCAAGGGAAGAGATCCCTTTCTTTAAAGATTCTCAAGACCTGGACACTTTAATTGCCTTAGAGTTTACTGTCAAATCATTTGACAAGGATATCATTAGTTTTGCGCGCTTCCGTTCATTCAAGACTGCTAAAGTGCTGGTCAATGGTAAACGAAATCAATATGTTCCTAGAGAAAGCGTTTATGACGCAGAGCTATGTCGAATCTTACGAAATTTGCTTAGCGTAGCAAACTTTAAAGTCACTGGCCAGTGGCACCTTATATCCGATAAAAAACATAGATATAGTGATATAGTTATTGATACGCCTTTTGGCGAAAAAATCGTTCTCGAACTTTTTGCGACAGCAGTTACTATTGAACTTGATGAACACTATCAACGGGCTCTTGATTATGCGAGACTACTCTCTGCGAATGAAACTTTGGATAGTTCATATTACATGTGAAGATAATTATGTGGGACGTCCTCACTGGCCATCCGATTCTCAATTAAAAATGAATCTTAATGTTGCACATTTTTACCACGATCATCTATTTACAAGAATTAATTTAATCGCAGGCTGGTGGAGTAATCGTAACAACAAAATGTCTACTTATAAGAATTCTACTGAAATATAATAAATGCTAGGAGTCTTTGGAAAAAAAATTATATTATTTTATATTACTGCTATATAATTATTGATCTGTATTAAAAAACATAATTTAGTATTAACTTGTTGCGTAATGAAAAGTAATGTATTTCAAGATTTTTTATTATTTTACAAAATAATAATAGTAATGATGATGATGCAAAATGTGTAATGATTGCGGAATATTCAAGTTTCAATAAGTCCAAGCTCGAGTAAAATTTACCGATGATGCTTTGTGAAAGAGTGGAAAAAGCCTGAAAGGTCTATAGTAAAGAAAAAATAGCGCGGATTAGATCTGTTCCCCCATCATACGTCTTAAATCTAACTACAGATGAAACCAATTATGTGATTGCTGAAATTTTAACAAAGAAGATTTGACGACCTCGGCCATCTTTAGAATATAATAACTTTTTTTCTTTTGAAGCCTTTAGCGAATGTGTATGAGTGTGTGGAGTGTGTGTATTTCTAAAATCCTTGTGTAACGGTGACGCTTAGATTGCCTGTATAAATAAACCGATTAATAATGCAACGTTACACAAATTCCTGAAAAGGAAATTTCGTCGAGTCTTGAAATTGGTCGCATAATATTCCTTATTTGGATTGTGTAACGTCACATGATCTACTTTGTTGCAAAGCAACGAGTATGTAATAATTTTTTGATCGTTGCCAACAAGCTCTGAAGCAACACTTGTTGCTTGAATTCATCGAACGATAAGAAGGAAGTAATGAAGTGAAACGTATGGAAATTGTGATCGACAAAGAAATATCATATGAAACTATTCTTGAGTTTTGTGAAAGTGAACCGAGTATTCTGTTAAATATCATTTAATAGATGGAAATACTCTCACGCAATAATACAAGCAAAGTTAATTAGTAAAATTGGATAATTGAAAATGACATCATTGTGGATACATTCGGTCAATTCATCAGGACAACTTTTGTTGTGGAAATTGGCAATTCGCAAAATTGCATGAGCTTGCTGTGGGATATTCTTCTCCACGTACCAATATTCAATGTATTTGCCATAAAGTTATTTCCTCGTCGTCATGGCATTGCTTGCACTTCATCTAACCATACCCGTAAACACCCCTACATGTTTTCACACAAAATTATCTTCCGGTCAATATGATTACTATAGTCGGATTTAGGACAGCAAGCTCCTTGCGACGGTCCTAACATTCAAGAATATCAAGTAGTTATTCCTATCAACTTGCTTTTTAACGGCCGTTCCTGACGGCAAGGACATTGTTGGGACATGATGGAACATTTCTCAAAATGCTTGGACATAGAAAATATGCATCACTGCTTGACGGTGTTCTTACGGGGGTAATTATTATATAACACTTGTAACACGGAGATATAGGAACATTTTTTGCAATATAAATTGCACGACTATCTTTAAACGATTGAGACGCTCCTATTAGACGCAGTAAATATCTAATCTTATTGAAGATTCCATAATAACCGCTTAATGACGAAAGAAGGCTGTACAGCCACGTGAAATGGTAATCCTTAAACTAATGAAATTTGACACGTGGCCGCAATACTTTGGAATACAATTTTTCGCGTAACTTACAAGATCTTTTGATAGGACGGATGTTATCAACAGCTGCGGTCCATATAGATATATATTAGATTTTGGTGTCAAAGAAATTTTTTTTAAATTTCTTCGTCTAATATTTAAATATTCTAATCAGGTTTGTAAGTTAATAAAGTAAAAAATTATCTTATGTTTTTCGTGTATTTTAAAAGACAAATCACTGTTCTTCTTTTACTTAATGCGTTATTCGTTAAATAATAGACTATTAAGACTCTAATGGAAAACAAACCGATAAATAATTCTGAGTTGTAAGTTATTTATTGACTTTTTTTTTTTTTGCAAATACATTGGCTTGTTATAAAGCAACATCGAGATTATTAGATATTAACATACCTTTATTTTGTGAATAGAAAAGTTCCGGCCATTGAAATTTCAGAGTCGCCGGGAATGACAGGTAACCATGTGGAAAAAAGGAAAGAATGGAAAAGAATTAATAAATCAAGGCAAAGGCGATCAAGGAGCATTGGAGGACTTTATATTGATGATTCGGCGAGTGAAGGTGGTTCTACTGACGATGATCGACTTGTTTCTCCGAGTATATTGAGAAGGACTAACGTGAAGAATGAAGGCTTTGATGGTTTGTTTTACTAAATTTGATTAATCGTTAACGTTCGTGCAATGATAACTGATAGATCTGAATGATAGATTTTGTAAAGAGACGGCGTAATTTATTAGAAAGGCAGCGCTCTACCATTTCATTATATACGTCGCCTGTTCTTGTAATTACTTACTTCTTGGCGTATTTGATTCAGCAAGTCAAATCAGCTGTGGAATATGCACAATTAAGAAAATGGGTTATAACGTCCATACCTTTATTAGGAATCTTGATTCAATTTGCATTATTGATAGATGGAGAACATCAAATTGTAATTATTTCTTAATCACATTTGTTGATTATTATTAAGTGAATTTAATTGACCGATCTGGGACTTTGCTGTTACTTTTAGGTGATATATCAAATTCAATCTTATATCTTTTGGTATTGTTACTGGATTGGTTTGGGAATCGCTTCTTCAATAGGTCTTGGTACCGGTCTACATACATTTGTATTGTTTTTAGGCCCTCACATTGCAGAAGTAACTTGGGCAGCTTATAAGTGTGGGAACCTGGATTTTGAAACGTTTGGTCCTCATAGGTAAATATCTTGAAGTGTGATCTTTCCTTTTGAAAACTTTTGTTTTTTGCTTGATTAATATTGAGGAATATGTTAATTTAAAGATTTCGATGCATGCCTTCCGTATCAACCTCTTTTGCAGTATCATTATGGAGCATATTTCAAAAAGTGCAATGGGAATCTTTTCTTTGGGGATTTGGTACCGCACTGGGTGAATTGCCACCATACTTCGTAGCAAGAGCAGGTTCGAGGAGATTTCATATTTATCATTTTTATAAAGTTGATGACGTTTGTAGTAATTCATTTACATGTATGATATTTTTAGCTGCTTTGTCAGGCAGTCGTAGCGAAGAATTAGAGCAGCTTGACACTTTAATTGCTCAAAATCCTGATAGTATATCACATAAGGAAAAGGTGCTTATATGGGTTCATCGGATTATGCAAAGATTAGGATTTTTTGGAATATTTCTCTTCGCTTCAGTGAGTATTATTATAAAGTCTGAATGATGGATATCTTAATGTTCTTTGAATTTTCATTCATGATTATTATTTCGTGAAAATTTAGATTCCAAATCCTTTATTCGATCTTGCTGGCATAATTTGTGGACAGTTTTTGGTCCCATTTTCAACATTTTTTGGGGCTACATTCTTAGGAAAAGCCGTCGTAAAATCTTCTATTCAGGTATTTATTATTATCATTCCTTGTAAAAGAACATTTTAAATTGTTTCTTTCATAATGTCTCATCTTCCTTTATTTCGGTGAATAAAAAATCTATTTCAGACTATTTTTGTAATTTTATTATTTTCTCAAGATATGATAAACACTATCTTAGACCTTACACAAATTTACTTACCAACTATACATGACAAACTCGAAAGTGTTGTTCAGAAGCAAACTAAAATACTAAGGCGTGAAGAGGGTGAAGTTGCTCCTGAAATTAGTCCGGTAGGTTCTTTAGGTTGATATTTAATTTTTCTATTTACGTAGATTTATTGATTTTTTTTTTTTTTTTTTTAGGGTAGCCCAAGTTATATATCTATCGCCTGGAATGTTCTTTTTAATATAATGTTGGCTTACTTTGCATTAACAGTAATTGAAACCTTGGCTATTGCGCATCTTAAACGAGTTCATGATCAAGAAATCGAAGACTTGGAAAGGAAGGCAAAAGAAAAGGATGAAAATGATGTAGAAGTAGAATCTCCCATGTCTAGAAGCGCCATTGAAGGAGATCTTAAACGAGAAAAAGATTTAGGTAGAGGTTATGCAAGTAGTTAATTTAAAAAAGATGCAAGTAATCAAAAATTGAACATTCTCAGAAAGTTTACAATTTACTATACTGTAATAATGCACTAGTAGTTTATTGAATCTGAATAGAAGTGAGATTTTTTTTCGGCTGGCAATTATAGATTATTACTATTATTATTGTATTGTTATGTGTTAATACCTTCAATCTTTACATCATTCATCACTTTGAAGTATGAATTGCAAATAATTTAAGTTTTAATTCTATGCAACATAGAACTAGTATGACATCCATCTTTTTCAATCATAAATTCGTCAACATGTAGAAAATGTATACATATCAAGTACCTTTATAAAAGAAAAATTCTTTGCAAAAAGTATATTATTTTCAAGGATAGATTATATTTGGTTTAGCTATTCAATGAATTCAATAATAACGATCTTCGTCATCATCAGAGTTATCTTCTAAAATTTAAACGAAAAAGATTACTAAATGCATGTGAAATTCTTTACTGCCAGATAATAATTTTATGGAAACTTACCTTGTACGCTCCAAGCTTCTTCATCTTCATCAGGATAATCATGAGTATAATAATCTTCGGCTGCAAAAAAAAAAAAATAAAATGTACCTTATTCATTTTTTTCATCCAAATTATATAAATTATGAATAATTCAATATCATACAAACCGTTAGAATCCTCTTCATCGGAATAAACAATCTCATCCTTTTCATCCGATTCGTTAACGAATAATTCATTCCCATCATCATTAAACCATGTCCTACGGGAAAAAAAAGTTCAATATAAATAAAATCATAATAGAGTGAAAAATTCATTCTTTTATAAACCAAGCGTACAATGTAGCGATTTTATTGAAATTCATCCGATCATCTAAATCCATGGCATCATCCCGATAGTACACATCATAAACGTAAGCATCATCGGAATCTTCTTTATCGATTTGTTCTTGAACTAAAAAGAAATGATAAATCTATCATTAATTAATGTAAAATTTTTCAATAATATACATAAGTAATGTAATTAAGATACGTTACGTGAAAGATATTGTCGCACCATAGGAATAAAATTGCACATAATTTCAGAATCTATGTCATCTTTCTCAACAAATCTGAAGAATCAAAAAAAAATTTTTTTATTTATTTGTTATTCTTCCAAAAATTAAAAAAAAAAAATTACTAACTTTGGTTCAATAAGTGATACGTTTTCCTTAACCGCGTCGTACATCTTAAATAAGTTTGTGGCAACCTCGTCTTCATCTTCGACGTCGTCACTTTTAAAACCGATGAATGAGATTAATCAATAAAATATCAAATTAGAAATATTATAAAAATAAAAGTTGCCTTACCCCGAAGTAATCAATGAACTGTTGCTCTTTTGTCTATTTCTATCAATAACTTTATATCTTTCTTTTCGACCACTTTCATTGAAGCGTGCGATTTGTTCTTCCCGAATTTGCTTAGTTTCAATTCCTTTACGTTTTAAGATATCTTTACGACTTATTAGTTTCACTATATGATCCTAGGTATTGAATTTATTATTCCTAAATGAACATGATTGTACAAAAAATTTTTCTTTTTTTAATTTTCCAAAATTATCATACTTTCAATTGTTGCGTTTTAGTTGAATCATTAAAGCTAATCTCTTCAACCGTCTTTGCGAATCGAAATATGAATGGTATAGACTCTCTTGGTTCTTCTACTCAAAAAAATTTTAAATAAGTAATAGTACGGTTAAACGCAAGATAATTAACGTGATTAATACCTTTCACGTTTTCAACGTTTTCAACTTTCAGATTCTCTTCGACTTTAGCTTCAATTTTCGCTTCTTTGTCATTACGTTTAGCCTTCTTTTTTCCACTCTCAAAAAGTTGTTGGACAACTAAAAAGTGATGGTTTTGTCTATAATAATGAAAATGAATAATTGAAAAACTACTTGGTAAGAAGTAAGTGTTATTTAAATACCAAGCGCGTCTAATGGCTCTTCATTTCGCTTGCGTTTTAGACGAATGATAGTTAACCCAGGCGTTGTAGTTGTAGTAGATTCTATAGGGTCCATATTAAACAAGCGAATAGGAAGTGTTTTTTTTTTTTTTTTACGAAAAAATCAATGAACAAGTCAAAAACAAAAAAAATATTTGGTCTGATTGATCTTTATTTCTTTATTAAATATTAAACGGTGATTTGATTTGACACCATCTGATACCATACATAAATATTTGTTCATCGTATCCACCACCTCTAATTTTGATATGGCAATTATAATAAGAAAATAAAAATAAAATCTAAGACGAAGGGTTAAATTGGCAGATGATAATAAAATGATACTACTCTACTGCTAAACCCAACATTTAGAAATTACAGGGAAAAATGATAACTTTTTCCGTCTAACATTAAACACAATAATATATAATCCTGAAGCTCAAAGGCTTTATTTTTATTCAACTTAATCTTGGGTAAAATAATTGTAGTCACGCTCTATCGTGGCCTTCTGGCTTGAGGCGTTCAGTCAAAATCCGGCGGATGAGCTTCACACCATGACCCTATCAGGTAGGTGCAGCACCAATTATCCGAATCTCCAGTTCCGCTCGTACTAGGTTGAATTACTATTGTATAACACACCATCAGTAGGGTATAGTACGACGGTCTAAACCCGGTCTACGTTCCCTTTTAGTGAGTTGAACAATCCAACGCTTACTGACTTTTGCATCAGCATAATTTTCATCTTCCCTCACGGTACTTGTTCGCGCCAATATTTAGCTTTAGGAGAAATTTACCTCCTATTTTGAGTTGTAATCCCAAACAACTCGACTCTTGGAAGACGTATCGTAAAGCGTCCTTAAGATTAACCATGAACGAGATTCTCACCCTCCAAGATACCTTATCCCAAAGGATTTAGGCTAATCCAAGACACAGAAAATGTTTCTTCGAAATACAACTTTGTTAAGTTAGAACCCAACAGATTTAATTTGGTTTTTCCTCCTTCGCTCGTCGTTACTGAAAGAATTATTGTTTTTTTCTTTTCTTCCCTTTATTGATATGCTTAAGATTTTTTACCTGATTTGAGGTAAATTTGATAAGTATGTAGATATAACATAAAATCTATGTAAAACATGAAAACATGAATAGATAAGTAGGAACTTACTTGCGTATTTTTTTTGGTCATCAATGAGAAAGCATTTCTAATTTTTTAACACTTTGACAGAGATATCTCAACTTTGATATCTTACGGTTACAAAATGACAACATTCAAAAAAGATATATCCTCCGGATTACCAGAGGTCCAAGTTGCGTTCAAAAAATTCGATGATTCAATGACGCAATTCACATCACTTCTCGCATTTTCTCTGCGTACTGCGAGAGTCAAGAGATCCATCCATTGTGAAAAACTTTTTTTTATTTTATTTTTTTTTTTTTAATTATTATTATTATATTTTTTTTTTTTTTTTCTTTAATGTTCAATTATTTTTAAAAGAGATTTTAATCAAAGGGTTGAAATCCATCCCAATTATGCTGCCTTCCTTGGTTGGATGTGAAAGCCGTTTCTCAGGTTCCCTCTCCGGTGTCGTACCCTAATACCTCGTTACCCGTTACCATCATGGTAGGACTCAATCTTACCATCGAAAGTTTGATAGGGCAGGAATTTTAGATAAAAGTCGTTCGTTTATTTATCATGAATCACCAAGAAAATCGGTTAACCGATGTTTGGTTTTTTATCTAATAAATGCATACACCCCTTCTAGAGGTCAGTATTAGCACGTTATTAGCCCTAGAATTACCACAGTCATCCTGTAGTATTAAAAATGTAAAATGTACTATAATTCTAAACTTTTACTCGCAGTTTCACTTGAATGGGAGAATCAACTTCAAAGCTTGCTTTAAATACTTTTTTTTTTTGTATCTGTTTGGGCTAATTCAAACATCCAATAAAAATTAAGATATCAATTTCATCAGATGATCAGATGTCATTCATGTGAAAAAGGCTCAGCCATATAAATAACCAGAAAAAATTCTGGTAATAAAGGATGATGATCAGAAGCAAATACTCACGAGAAGGGAATCAATTAATAATAGTTCTTAATATACTGTCAACAGGGAAGGTTAGTTACAATGGCACCTGTTAAAAAAAATTAAATATACTAAATATACTGTATATTTTAAAAAAAATCGATTTTAAGACGTGATTCTGTAGATCGATAGTAGTATGATCATGAATTTCTATTTGAAGTTTTCAGAATTTACAATCGAAAGATTTTTAATGAAAATTTTCTATTTCTTAATAATTCAGAATAATTCTGCATTAATACCTTAAAACATCATAGTTGTTGTTGATATTGAGAATTTGATCCAAAAAGTTTATTTATATGTCTTGCAAATCATTATTACATTCCATTTGATTCTCTGTTTATTTCAAAGGGAAGGAAAGTTTTTACATATTCGTTTCGTGAGGTTTCCATTCCATTGTCCTCTACATACATGATCTTGAAATCACACCAACCATTACTTTACAAAGCTTTCGAGTATCTAAAGTTTTGAGATTGTAATATGTGTATTTTTGCTGCATTAATTTTGATTTACATATATCAAACATCTAATTTATAATAAAAATTAAAAATTGTATTTTTTTTTTTATCCAATAAAAATGTTTAATATATTGGATAATATAAACACTTTATGAATCAAATTAAATGAAAAAAGAAAATAAAAAAAACAAAAAAATGAATCAATAAATTATTATGTATATATAAATTTTTGAAAAAAATTACTGAAATTATTAATTTTTTTCTAATACAAATTATAGATATTTTTGTAATAGATAATTTTAATAAGTTTAGGTATTCTTTTATAACATTAATTAATTTTTACTTATTTTAGGTAAAAACTTTTTTAAACTTTATAATCTAAATAGTTTCATAAACTCTCAATCAGATTTAAATTCAAATTTTACATCATCCAACATAAAATTGGAAACATTTATTATATATTATAAAGATATATAATAAGATGCTTTATCTTGTTAAAATACAAAATTAGGATAATTACTAATTCAAGATATAAAATAATTAGCAAGAAGATTAATATAATAATTGAATTATATTTTCTTTGATTAAACCATAGTTTTGATACTATATTAATCAAAATAATCTAAAATATTACTAATCTTCTATTAAATTTAACTGTAAGTTAAATATAATCTTTATAACTTCTTTAAATTCTTATATAATTATTTGATCTAATGAGAAATTTTGATTTATTTAATCATACTATTTGATTCATTCTTCTTTCAGTTTCTTTTTACTACATTATCTCAAATGATTTTTTTGTTATATTTAGTTAAAAGAGGTTATTTTTAATATAGTATAACGACTAAACTTTTATTATAAGATATTTTATAATAGTATTATAATGCAAAATAGTGTTAAAACTAGAATTTAATTTATATTATATTACCATAAAAGTAAACTAATTATTATAAATAATATGTTACAAATTATATTAAATTAGAAAAAAGAGAATTTTTGTTAAGTCTAAACAATTTTTCTGGTAGTATAGAAAAGATTAACAAATGTAAGTTACACATAATTATTTGAAATACATAACTAACTAATTCGCATTGACTCAATAATTAAGCAGGTAAACAATAATACATTTTTTATCACTTTACATAATATTATATAAACTTTTACTTCGCTCTAAATTAAATAAACAGTTTAGAATGTCTAAAATATTTTTAAGTTCTATAGAACCTATTTCTTTGTATTTTTAATTATATTAATTACTATATTAAAGGAATATTTATTTGAGTTAAAATATTTTTTTATATAATGCTATTAAGATATATAGAAGATAGACAAAAGTATCTGTATACCTTTCATAAACATGAATTAATGCTAGTAAAGTCATATGATCGCAATAATAATTATGTTTATATGATACTTAAGTATTTATTTATATTATAAAATAAAAGAACAACAATTTGTTTATTTTAATAAATTTTTCTTTTCTGAAAATCTAAAAAAAATGGTAAAAACCAAAAAATTAACAGTAATGATTTTCAAGTAAAAAATAATCTTTGTACATTATCTTGATCAGCTCAAAGTTCTAATCTTAATCCAATTAAGAATCTTTAAGCTGAAGTCAAAAAAAGCATCTGAGCTTATAAAAAACCTTTATTTAATCTTGTTAATTTTGACTAATATGTTAAAAAGGCATAGCAAAAAATTTTGAAGCATATTATAGAAAACCTAGTCGATAGTATGTTATAATAAATTCAAGCTGTGGTTACAGTAAATGATAGCCTAACTAAATACTAGTTATTTAGTATAAAATTTAGATATTAATCAGCTTTAAATAAAAAATTAATTGATCTTTTATTATTATTGCAAACATATTTTAAGTTTTATATTAAGAGAAAAAGTATGTGAATACTTTTGTCTACCCTCTATATATTAATAATTCTATTGTATTATATACTTAAAAACTAATTTTTACATATTTTAATATAGAAAAAAATACAAAATATTTTATTTTTATAAAATTTTATGCATAATAAGAAAAAATACTTATTGTAAAATTGATATTTTGATTTACTAAAATCTGATAATTAAATATAAATTAGTATAGAAGAATTGCTAGTAAATTCTATTAAATAAGTATTTAATATCTATCACATATTTAATGATAAATAACTTTAAAGATTATAATAAGAATTCTTGATCAATTTAATAAATAAAATTAAAAATCATCTTAGATATAAATAATTAATAATTAATCATTTAAAAATATTTTATAGTTTAAAATATTTATGTAAATTAAATAAAAAATAAATACATACTTTATTACTCATTTTAATTACTTTTAATTATTTTCTGCAAACAAATATAATTATATATAATTAAAATAATATATATATAGCTATTAAGATATTTAAGTCAATTAATAATACTTTAAAAAATATTAATTTAAAATATAAAAAAAAATAATAAAATGTATTATATATATAATATTAATGCTTTGAATAGTTTAATTTAGTTTAAATAATAAATTAATTTAAAATTTCAGTTTAGTTCAGTTCAAATTATAAATAAATTTAATTGAAATTCAAACTAATTATATACTATTTAGATTCTGATTTGAATTAAAAATTTTAAGTTTAATTTGAAAATTCAGTTCAATTATTTAATTAAAACAATATTAATATATTTAATTATATTAATTAAATAATTTTTTTATCATTTAATTAGAATAATTTCAATTGAATGATATTTTTATCTTTCAGTTAAAATAATAAATTAATTATTCTAATTGAATGATATTTTATCTTTTAATTGAAATAATAAGTATAATTATTTTAATTAAATAATATTTTTATCTTTAATTAGAATGATAAATTTAATTATATTAAACAAAAAATCTTTTTATCTGATTAGAATGATAATTATAATTATTTTAATTAAATAATTTTTTATTTTTGAATTAAAATGATAAGTTTTATTATTTAATTGAAATGATAAATTCAATTATTTTAATTAAATAATTCTTTTATTATTTAATTAGAATAATAAATTTAATTATTCTAATTAAATAATATTTTTGTTATTTAAATGAAATAAATTTACCAAAAATTTTAGATTTATTTAAAATTTTAGTTTATTTTAGATTTTTCAATTAAGATTAAAATTATAATTTAAATAAATTTAAATTGATCTAAAATTTTCAGATTGATTTTATGCAATCTGAAATTAAACTAAAATTAATCATTTCAAATCTAAACTATTCATAATTTTATACAATATATAAATATTTTTACTTTTTTCAATATAATTTATTTTTTATACTCAGAATAATAAACAATTATTAAAAATATTTATAAAAATAATATATAATTTACTAAATTAATTTAATATAAAACTAATTAATCACTTAAAATACTAATATAAAAATAAAAATACTAATTACTAAAATATTATACTTAGATTTAGTAAATAATATCTCTAATTAATAGCAAATGTTTATTTTAAATTAGATAGAAATATTAATAGTAAATATGTTTTAAAAATTATTTGTATTATTTTAGATTATTAGTATTTAAAATATGTATAATTAAATAATACATATAATAACTATAATAACTTCTAAATTATAAATCTTATAAAGTTATTTTATTATTAAACTTTTTTAATAAAAAATAAAAATAAAAATTAATCTGATTTGTTAGAACTAATTAAATTTAAATTATTACTTAAGCTAAAGATAATATTACAACTAGTTATAATCTTGTAATACTTATTTATTATTAGTTATAATTAATTATAACTTAATTTTATTATTATCATAACTAGTTGCAATCTTATGATATTTATATATTACCAATTACAATTAGTTATAATATTATTTTTAGTTAATATTAAAAGTTTATTTTTATTTATAATTAAATTAATAGAATTTAGAAAAATGTAAAAACTATTAATTATTCATTTAAAATATAATAAGAATTATTTGCTATAATTAAAATGAATATAATTAAATTGATAAAATATTTATTTTAAAGAATTTTTTATATATTAGTAATAACTTTAAGAATAAGATTCAGCTTAGTTATATTAATATTAAAAATTATTTTAAAAAGAGAATTTTCATTTTTTAAATTGTTAAAATTAGATTTTATATAGTAAATATATTGTTTATAATATTAAAACTAGAAGTATAAAATGATTTATCAGTAATTATACTTTATCAATAATCATTTTAAAAGATTTTGCTGAAGTAATTAAATATTTAGGTAAAAATATAAATATAACTATTAGTCTAATGTATAGTGTTTAGTAGTAATTAATTATAAACTAATATTTAAAATTTTTGATGATATAGTAGTTATAGATTTTATTTAATCTAAATATATCTATAACAATTAGTTATGAAAATATATTTAAAAATAAGACAATTATTAAATAACCTAAATATAGAAAAATTAATATTAAGTCTTTACAAAGCTGTACTAATCTTGAAATTTATATTAAAATAGCAATGATAATTTTAATTATTTTAATTAAATAATCTTTTTATAATTTAATTAAAATAATAATTTTGATTATTTTAATTAAATAATATTTTATCATTTAATTAAAATAAATTTTTGATTATTTAATTAAATATATATTTTATTATTTAATTAAAATAATACTTTTATTATTTTAATTGAATAATTTTTTTATTATTTAATAAAAATGAATTAATTGATTTTTTAAATTAATCTAAAAATTTTCAAATTAATTTTATATAATTTAAAAAATGAATTAAAGTCAATTTAAATTAAAAATCTTCAGATAAATTCAAATTTTTTAGAGTTTTAATTTACAGTTTATTATTAATTATATTGAGTTTAAACAAAAAAATTATTTTGTTAATAAAATTATTAGTTTTTAATTCTTATTTTATTTAAGAATTTAGTTTATTTTTTATCAATTTTATATATTTTAAAGGTAATTTTATTATAAATAAAAATATTACTTTCCTTTTATAATACAAGAATTTTAATTATATTAATTTATTAATTAATTAAAAAGAATTAAATTAATTGTATTTAAATTAACTTTTATAAATATAAAGTATATATAAATCAGATATTACCTATTTTTACACATTTATTATTTTATAATTTAAATATTTATATTTAGTTAGGTATATTTATATTATATCTGAATAAATGAATAATAAATTGCAATTTTAATTATATACATATTATTTTATAATGCTGATTACTTTATTTAAAAACTTTTTATTAATAATATATATTTTATTTATTTTAATTTAATCAGCTGTTAATATTAAACTATTTTCTAAATTTTTACTTGATTTACATAAAGAAATATAGCATAATATAATATATTAATAATTAAAATATTTTGTAAAACTAATATTATTTTATTAAATTTAATTAGAATAATTTGAACAATTTATAGTAATAATAATACACTTCAATCTTATTCCTAATCAGAACATTCAAATATAATTTTTGTCTTATTACATAAATCCAAATTGATCCTTTTCAAATTATTTTCTGAAATTTGTTAAATTTTTTTGTTTTGATTGATCAATTTAATTAGTTAACAACTCATTTGTGACTACCTTTATAAGTCCAGTTATTTTTGACTGGATTTGAACTATATGTTCAGTTATTGGCCAGTTTTATAAGTCCAATTAGTCTAATTTAATCCAATTGGTTAATACTGTCTGTGATAATGTACTATATTTAATGCCTTTCTCAATACAATTTACATCAATAACAAAAACTTTATTATTAATATTTGTAATTTCATTGATACAAAGAGGCCTAAACTAATACAAATGATTTTCTACCAGGATAATTAGAATAATGTGAGAATTCGCATAAAATTCCAAACATTATAATGACAATACCTTAATGATTATATAATAAAATTGCTAATCACCAACAAAAACTGTTAAAGAGTAAACTTTTCAAGTTGCCCCAGAGTGTTCTTGTCAGTTTCCTAATTTTTTTCAAAGTCAAGCTCGTAATTGTCTTCGAATGACAATGGGAATAACTTTTGGCTAGACTGCACCTTTATTATATACTTTTATCGGCATAATGAATTTTATCTTAAGATATATTCTTAAATGAAGTAGAATTAAATCATACCTTTCGCCTTTAGAATTAGCGATTTGTTCAAGTATGTCTCCGTAAACTAAAAGTACAGTTGCATTTAATTTGTTGGTTACACGTTTGTATTGATTTTCCCCGCATCGTTTTATTAGAATTTTGTTGTACTTTTTGTTTTGTTTTGATTTATGCATGAACCCACTAACCAAGGTCTCACTCTATTTTATATGATTAGAATTGTAGTTATGGACCTAAGAATTGAATTAAGAATCCACCTTTAGAGAAAACTACGACAACCTGATCTGAAATCGATCCCTAAATAAAGTTTAACGTTATCCATATACAAAGATCCGAAAGTTATTTTTATTAATAATATGCGCGTATATGCTGGAAATATTTCAAATATTTGACTCCACTTTGCTAATTAGAAAATGTAATAAAATCACATCACATGCGCATTACAATATGGTATCACGCATTTATTTCTTTAGAAAAATTGTGATATCTCGAAAATTCTGGAGTATGTAGTGAAATATCTGACATGTGGCGATTTGATTTAATATTGTATTTGACATTGAGCAAGCTGAAGCCTCGACATGATTCAGGGTAAATTTCTCAGGGTCCTTTCATTTTGTTGCAAAAAAAAATTGTGATTTAACCTAACCTCGATGAAATTGCTTAAGATGATAGCAAAATGTAAGGTGTTTCGGCTCCACGATAACTTGATTGCCGCAGTAAATTGACCCACATCGTAATTTCAGAGAACAAAGTTTTTTTTTCACAAAGTTATGTACGAGAATAAATGCTATGCTACGGCTATTACTTCAATATCAACGTCTAGTAAGAAAAGTTTCGTGTAATATTGATTCAATGTTGACATATTAATTATGCTTATTAAAACAAAGAAGTAAATTGTAAGACCAACTACATCAGAACGCTACGCCTTCTTTGTTCTCGAAAAGGTAACGTACACGTGACTCCGTAACATTACAAATGGCTGTGACTAGATGAATTGTATCACTTTATTTAATCCGTCATATTATATAACTGCAAAGACAGACGTACCGCGAGATAAGTGAGAGAAGGAAAGTATGAAAATTTTCAAGTATAATTGTTAATTTTTTTTGACACCACATGTATAATCCTTTTAGATGAATCTAATATATATAAGGTATTCGATTTTTAAGATTTAAACTTATAGCAAAAAAAAAAATAACTTTATAAAAAAACTTTGGTTCCCTTAAAAAAAAAAATCATGTAGTTTTGGGTTTTGTGGAACTTTTAGGTATCCATAAATGCCAACCATGGCCAAAAAGCAACGTGAAGCCGACCCAAGTAATCAAGGTTTTTGGATCATATACACCCCACTTAATTAAAATAAATAATATGAAAAAAGCTTCTAGAATATGGATAATAACGCTTAAGGTTAAAATATCTTGTAAAATACTTTTACCAAGGAGTCCTTGTAATTGAATGACAATAACATTTGAGGTGTCATTAGCATTTGAAACAAAGTAGATTATAGATGCGAATACGACAGAGAAAATTGGTAACGTGATTAATGTTTCCTTTAACGAAGGAAAATAAGGTAAATGAATTTGTTTCTAAAATAAAAAGGTCAAAATAAAAGTTAAAAGCAAAGAAAACAAAAAAATGAATAAAATAAAAATACACCAACATGTTCAAAAGAGTTTTTTTCCATCAGTAAATGATTTCACTTTTTTTTTTTACTTTTTTTACGTAAAAAATAATTTTTTTGGATTTCTGCATATCCTTATATATTAGCAAAAATTCGATGATACTTTAATATGGTAAGATCGGTATCCAAAATAAGATCGTTATACAATATTTAGGGGTAAGAAAATAAGTGACAAATGTATGGGTTTTGACGGTTTTTCCTATACATGTATGTTTATCAAACACCTTTTTGTTATATATATAAATGATGTATGTATGTATGTATGAATAAAATACCGTATACCATACATTCTTTAAGCATAAACCATACATTTGTCACCATACATACATACATCGGTCACCATACCATACTTGTTTTCTATACGATCAATATTTATTAGCAATTAATTAATAATATTAATTGCTGATTCGCGAGTCACCTGGACAAAATGATCGGCATTTATTAAATAAATGTAAAAACGCGGTTTCTAAATGTATTAAGTCAACTTTACTAATGTCCAAAAGGCGACAGTTCACACCCAATCTTTTAAGTGTATGTATGGGAACTGTTAATATCAAGTCAACTGCGATATAAGCCTGAATATTCTGTTTTTTTTTTGTATCAAAAACTGCCTGATAACATGCTTTAACTGCAGTTGATAGATATAATTCAATTTCACTTTCAGTTTACATCAAAAATCCAGTTTTAGAGAATTTCTATCATTAGAAATAACTGTAATAATAAATTCTTAACCAATAAGTTCAAGTCTAATATGATAAAATACTCAGTAATGGGATTCAAAAATGAAGATATAATTCAATAATTAATCGATAATATTTCATTTTTTTCTATATTTATTTATGTTAAGAATTTTTTAGTTATAATAATAAGTCTTAGTAATTTATCAAAAAATGAAACATAGCTAAAGCAGGATTTCCTCATTTATTACATGTTAAATAACACATAAAATCTTTTTTATTTAAAATTTAAAAGAAACACTACTTTTTAAAATTTTATTTGAATTCTTTTGAATATGCTGAATTATCACACAGAATACTATTTATTTTTGCTAATATTTTCAAGCAAATTCTTCAAAATTCTCAATTATAATTCTAATTGCAATAACTGGAGTATATAAAGAGGTTTAAGATTAACTTTGATATTAGACATCAATCAATTCTAATTTTTAAATCTTCCAATTTCTCTCAATTCAATTCTTTGAGATCTACTTAACTTGCATTAAATTTGTTATAAAATTAATTGCGAAAGCTACTAACTGAAAAATAGGCTTTAATGTATATAGCAAAGTTTTAGATTTTTGAAGGTTAACAATTTATGTTAATAATCCTAGAATCTTATTCACATTAATAAAATTATCAATATAAATTAATACAATCAATGAATATAGATATATATTTAAATAGAAGTATAATGATAGATTGGATTTTATATTATAAATTTAATTAAATAAAGTTATAAAATATAAGTTAATTTTATTAATAGAGAAATTAGATTAATACTATTCAATAATTTAAATAAACTCTTATTAGTGAACTTATAAAATTATAAGTAAATAATAAAATTTATTCAAATCTAGTTAACTTAAAATTCATTAAAACTAATTAAGAGTTAATTATAAAACTGATTGTAGAATAACTAATTTAAAACTAATTGATGAGATTATATAAAATTTCTTCTATTTATATAAAGCATTTGATCTTTTTCTATTACTAAATTAAAATAAAATAAAACTTAATTAATTACAGAAATATTGTAAATATTATTAACTTAATTAATAAGTTTAAATAAATCATTTTAATTATATTTAACATATTTAACTTTGTTAACAATATTATTATCATTTATTATTTTTATTATTTTTATAATTTTAGTCAATCAATTGCTAAATTATAGTTAAAAAATTTTAGCTCTGTTTGGTAGTAATTTATAAAATTATTTTTAATTATTTTTTTTTAAATATTTAGCTAACTATTAGTTAATTAAGTCAAGTTTAAATTTGTTAGAAAGTTCTCGTTAAGATAATTCTAATAGTAGTATTTTCATTAAATGTAATTATTAAGCTAAGAATTATTTCATTTAATAATATAGTCACGCTTCGATATAACAAAGTTGCTAATTCAACTGATCAGGACTTCATTATAAGGATCTTTATTAACGCTATAACAAATTATTTGTTATAGTAGATAATTACTAATTTTATTACACAAATATAATTTTACTATAATATAATTGTTTCAGAAATATTTTCACATTATTTTGTAAATTTTAGTTATTTTATTTTAATATGCAATCTATTATTATATGACAGTTTTATTAATTTATTTAAATTTTTTTTAAAATAAAATAAAAACAAAATAAAAAACAAAACAAAATAAAATACAGTAGTGGTCATAAGTATCCGACCGCCCAAGATCATCCAAAATTATTATATAACTACCCCTTAAATTTTCCAGAAATATAATATAACACAATACATGATCACCTGT